CTTCTTCATGGGCTTCTTCTTGGCCTTCTGGGAAGGTTGGTTCTATCTGCGCCACTGCCCCCCTTCGTCACTCACCCCTGTGGTGCGAGATAGGTCTGTCATCCCTCGTTGGGGATGTCACTCTATCTACCGCGCACAATGCGCCCCCCAATGGCCCTGTGGTGTGGTGGATGATCCCGCGCACCTCACCTTCGCGGCATCGACAGCCGCGTCGCCCGCCGCCTCGGCATCTGTCTCCTTGCTGCCGCCGTCGCCCTCGCCCTCGCTCTCCTGGGGCATTTTCGGCTTGCGACCTTTGAGCCCCATAGGATCTTGTCCCTGGCCCCCTGCGCTGACAGGCCCGATGCCCGACGCGCTGGCGTGGCAGCGCTCGGAGCGGCGCCGTCATCCTCGAGCGGCAACGGCGACGACGGTTGGCACCGCCTGTGCGGCGCTGCCCTGGCGTCGCACTGCCCTGGCGTCGCCAGCGCCAACGCGATGCCCTGCGCCGAGCCCAACGCAGTCAGCGCCTTAATCCGCGCCTTGCTCTCGCGCCTGGGAACGCCGTCCGTCAGCGCCAGGGGCTGCGTGGAATCCAGCGGGAAAGCCGTCGGGCCCTTCTTGGGAAACGCGCGCGCGTGCATCTCGCCACGCAACCTGGCGCATTCCACAGGGGAAGCGGGCAGCGCCGAAACGAAGGCGCCCTCGGACTCCGCCATTTGCCTGCACAGCGTCCAAGGGGGCAGCTTCTTTGCGCAATTTGTCGCACGCTTGTTGTAGCCTCAAGGGGCCGCGGGGCATTGTCGAAGCGCCTTGTCGGCGCCATCTACCTGCAGCGCGATGCAGCAGGCAACCTGGACTGTAGGTTCGTGGGTGGTCCTCCATCCGGGCGTCTTGCACGCCTGGAGCACGACCCCCGCGCGGCCCAGAAAGTCGTTGCCCTCGCCCAGGATCGTCTCCCGCTGCCTCGCCGTGAGGCAGGCCGCGATGGCCGTGAAGTCCTGCTGAGGGGCGCGAGAGTGGCTCAGCAGCTTCTGGGGCGCAGCTGCGTTGGCAACCAGCGCGCGCGCCGAGGCAGTGGCGAGCGTTGCGACAGCCCGCAGGAGATCGCCACGCTGCTTCGCGCCGAATGGCAGCTCCGAAATGGCTTGCACCAGCTCGGACGAGTCCTCGGACGACGTGGGAGACCATGACTGCAGCAGGGTCGTCGCCAGCGTCGCCTGGGCGTTGAGCAGCTCTTTCCATGGCCCGCTCCGAGGCTGCAGCTTGGACAGGAAGGTGGTGGCGCACCTCAGATGTTCCACCGACTCTTGGGCGTCCGTCATCGCGCGGCACGCCGCTCCCAAGGCGACAGGTGGCGCCCCGCACGCGGCGCGAAGCGCGCGTCGCGTCGCGCGCGAAGCCAAAACGGCTGCCGCCCTGATTGCATGCAGAAGGCGGTAGCCGCATAGCGATCGAGATCGCCTGGCAAGCACGTCGAGCCCTCCCACAGTCGGCCCCTCCGACCACTCGAGTGACCACAATCGCGGCCAGTTCCCCCCCTCTTCGCGACCCCCCCCATTCCTCATCCTAGATATCGCCAGTTCATCCTTATCTTCACTTTGCGCCCTCATCGCACTCGCCCCCGCCATGGCCCCCCCTGCCAACCCCCTCCCCCCGAACGATATCGCGACCTGCCCAAGCTATCGCCATCGCTACATGCGCCGTCAAGCGGTCGCTACCGCGATCCCTCCATCAGCCCACAAGCTCCCCAAAGCGATCGCCATCGCCGATTGCCTCCTAATTCATCCTCTCATCTTCTTCCTGCAGGCGATCGCAATCGCTACCCTTCATCGTCCCGCCAACGCTTCCCAGCGATCGGTATCGCTATCTCCCTCATCAACGTCCGTCTCCTCCTCCTCCTCCTCCTCCTCCTCCTCCTCCTCCTCCTCCTCCTCCTCCTCCTCCTCCCTCAAGCGATCGCAATCGCTGCGTCATTCCAGGACCTTCCTGGAGCGATCGCCATCGCTATTTCCCTCATGAGCACCCTCCTCCTCTCCTCCTCTTCCTCCCTCCTCTCACCACTTGCCCCCCCGAAGCGCGGTCGCAATCGCAACCCTCCGCTATCCCCACTTCCTCCTCCAAGCGATCGCCATCGCTAATCCCATCCTCAACGCATCCCCCCTTGCGGCACACAAGCGATCACAATCGCTTCCAAACCGTTCTCCCTGTACCGCGCTCAAGCGGTCGACACCGCTATCTCCCTCCTCGGCGCCCCCCCACTCATCCTCTCTCAGGCGATCGCAACCGCGACCCTCCATTGTTCCACTGGAGCGATCGTCATCGCTCGATCAAGCGATCTTCACCGCTATCGGTCCTGTCTCCTTCCAGCGATCGCAATCGCTATCCTCCATCGCCCCACTTCCTCCCTCAAGCGATCGCCATCGCTATCTCCTCTCCTTCTCATCCCCCCTTGGCACGCCGCTGCGCACGCCCCGCGGCGAGGCGCGCCTGCCTCGCGGAGGGGCCGCGGGGGAGGGGGGGGGGGGAAAGGGGGGGGAGGGGGGATGTCGGACAATTTTAAATTCCGCATAAGTGTCACTAAGTTCTGCTAAGCTACTTAATGCTAAGTACACCTAAGTTACTTAGCTGCACTTACTAAGTGATTTAAATCGGTGCTCAAAGGCTGGCACATATTTATAAGTCCCCAATTATACCTACAACGCAAAAGGAAATACTTACAACACTTGCAGAATTCTTAAGCCACTTGCAGAACTTATGCCCGAACACAAGTAACTTCATCCCAGCCACAAACACCTCCCAACTAGGCTAAGAAACTCCAGTCTTTAAGCAGCCTCCCCTCCTCCCCCCCCCCTGCCCCCTCCATCCCCATTCAGCTTCTCCTTGTCTCAGCTTCGGCCTGCCCCGGCCTCATCCTCAGCCTCAGCCTCAGTCTCAGCCTCAGCCTGTCTCGGCCTGAGCTTGCTTCGGCCTCAGCCTCAGCCTGCCTCAGCCTCAGCCTGCCTCAGCCTCAGCCTCAGCCCGTCTCAGCCTCAGCCTGCCTCAGCATCAGCCTCAGCTTCAGCATCAGCCTGCCTCGGCTTGCCTCGGCCTCAGCCTCAGCCTGCCTCGGCCTCAGCCTCAGCCTCAGCCTCAGCCTCAGCCTCAGCCTGCCTCAGCCTCAACCTGCATCAGCCTCAGTTTCAGCCTGCCTCAGCCGCAGCTTGCCTCAGCCTCAGCTTCAGCCTCAGCCTCAGCCTGCTTCGGCTTGCCTCAGCCTCAGCCTCAGCCTGCCTCGACCTCAGCCTCAGCCTCAGCCTGCCTCAGCCTCAGCGTCAGCCTCTCAGCCTCAGCCTGCATCAGCCTCAGCCTCAGCCTCAGCCTGCCTCAGCCTCGGTCTCAGCCTGCCTCAGCCTCAGCCGGCCTCAGCCTCAGCCTCAGCCTGCCTCGGCCTCAGCCTGCGTCAGCCTCAGCCTCAGCCTGCCTCAGCCTGCCTCAGCCTCAGCCTCAGCCTCAGCCTGCCTCGGCGTGCCTCAGCCTCAACCTCAGCCTGCCTCGGCCTCAGCCTGCCTCGGCCTCAGCCTGCCTCAGCTCGGGCATTCAAGATATGGCACAGGACTGGTGCTCGGGGAACACGAAGATCACGAAGTGGCCCACAGCTGGCTCCGGACATTCAACATATGGTATAGGAATTGTGTTATGGGAGCACGGAGAACACGAAGTGGCCTACAGTTGGCTCGGGGCATTCAAAATGTGGCCTGGGAATCTTGTTCTGGGAGCACGAAGAACACGAAGTGGCCTACTGTTGGCTCCGGGCATTCAAAATGTGGCCTGGGAGTGGTGTTCTGGGAACGTGAAGAACACAAAGTGGCCCACAGTTGGCTCCTGGCATTCAAAATGTGGCCTGGGAGTGGTGTTCTGGGGAGTCCCCGGATCCTCCCCGGCACCCGCCCAGATCACATCTGGGGAGTCCCGGGGAGTCCCCGGATTCTCCCCGGCATCCGCCCAGACCCCCCTGGGGTGTCCAGATGCTCTCTTTTGAGCCCACTAGAAACCTATGATTCTTCGCTGTTAGGCAAAAAGTGTGGTGGGCTGGTGGTGGTGGTGGTGGTGGTAGGTTGAGGCGGCGGTGGTGGTGGTGGTGGTGGTGGTGGTGGTGGTGGTGGTGGTGGTGGTGGTGGTGGTGGTGGTGGTGGTGGTGGTAGTGGTGGTAATCGTCGCTGCGTCCCCGCCGTCGCCGGCGCCAGCGCCGGCGCTGCTGGCCGCCGCCAGCGACGGCGCCGGCGCCAGCCCCAGGGGCGGGGGTTGAACCCCACCCCCTTCCCCCTTGTGCTGCCTCTGGTCATCGTCGCTGCGTCCCCGCCGTCGGCGCTGCTGGCGGCCGCCAGCGCCGGCGCTGGCGCCGGCGCCGAGGAAAGGGTGGGGAGGTTTGAACTCCCCCCCTCTTTTGGGAGGGGGGGGGGGTCGGGAGGGAGGGGTTGGGGGGGAGGGGAGTCCCCCTAGTTTTGATCGACTTCGCCGAGTGTTGGGGGGAGCCCACCCCCTGGTTTGAGATGCGCCGCCGAATGTTCTCAAGGCAAACGCCCGTGAAACGCGCTCTCTCAGGGGGGGCGATGGGCACAGGGGGGGGTGCATCGACTTGCCGATAGGGGTCTAAAAGCCCCACCCCGCCCAGGAACGTGCGGATTTACTATCGGAGGCCTATCGCCGATCTATCGGCGATGTATTGCCGATGCCAGGTCGGCCTGTCCCCCCTTATGCCAGTCCCCCCCCTTATCGTTGTCCCTCATTCCTCGGCGGCCCAGGCCGTGCACCGGCCTCGGCCATCTGGGCCAGGCCCGCTCGGCTCGTCGTCGTCGTCGTTGTCGTCGTCGTCGTTGTCGTCGTCGTCGTCGTCGTCGTCGTCGTCGTCGTCGTTCTCCTTCTTCTCCTCCTCCTCGTCCTCTCCTCCTCCTCCTCCTCCTCCTCCTCCTCCGCCGCCGCCCCGCCCCGCCCCGCCCCGCCCCGCCCCGCCCCGTCCCGCCTTGCGCCGTCGGGAGGCGATGAACGCCTTGCGCGGCATGCAGCAGATGCAGGCGGCTCGGGCGACGAGAGCCGCCCAGACCTCCATCGCAGCGAACGAACAGTCGGGGCGGTGTTTCTCTTTTCGGTCTCAGAGACGACCCCAGGTTGAGAGCCTGGCTCCCAGGAGGGGGTCGAGGAGCCCGGTGACCCCATCTCGAACAGCATCGCGACGACGGAGGCTTGGATGCGCGCACGTGCCAGCCTGGCGAGGCCCGTGCTGGGCCCGGGGTCGGTGCAAACGTGCCGTGCCCCCGGCCATGCCAGTAAGGCGTGCGCGCGGGTCCTGGGCCTGCGGCGGGCGTGGCCAGGACGAGTGGCGGGGGGCCCTCGATCGCCAGGCGGGCGGCATGCAGCGGATGATGATGTTCCATCACATGAAGGTCATGCAGCAGATGCAG